TCATTTTAACACGCAAAGCACCTCCACAATGCTTGGGCGGCAATTCACACTCATGCGTGACCAACGTGAGTGGACTGCGAAAACAAAAGCATTCGGTGTGCATTCCTCATCCTATGTGAAGCAGGTGCCCACATGGAAGTCCCAACACCGAGTTGTGCTTCAAGGGATGCCAGTTGAATCGTCATGTTCACTGGAACTACAACAAATGCATCCTCATTATGTCTGCATTTAGCAGTGCAAGTCCGTCAAATACTAACGGTTTGTCGAAATACACTTGACAGGTAGTCGTGTGAGGATAATGCAGCGTTGACCTATCCAAACTGGCGATGCGATGTCACCACATGCGAGGCATCACAACTCGATGTTTGTGAGGTCGCGGCAACGGGAGCGCATTCAACCACATCCTCACATACAGGTGCGTCCAGTTGGAACCCACCACCATCTGTCCTCCCGCTAGCACACACATCTCACTTGAGGCAGTAACTACCTCTCTCACACGAGGTCACTTAACCCACACGGCGAGGCCACCGAAAACTTACATTGTTGGCGTACTTTCGCCGCCTCGGATCCTCCCAAACAGTACGAGCCAAACGCCTGCAAAGGTAAGGAGAGAGTGACAGCACAAAATACCAGGTGTGATGTAATGTGATGTGATGGGATGCGATGCGTGTGCAAAAGGCAGAGCAATGCCTACAGAAATGGTGGGAACGCATGTGTTGCACCATTGCCTCCCACGTCGGACACGCCACGTAGCATTCGATGCAGTGAACGCGCACCTCCGAATCCCACATTCTCTCGTCTGCAAAGTGGTAGAGCAAAGCAATGAGTGTGTGAGTGGTTTGCGTGGGGATGGGCAGCCGTCCTGGAGGGGAGCATAGCACATGCTGCATTTAGTCAGATGGCAACAGGCGCACACTCACAAAGGTGTGATATGAGGAAATGGGTGAAAAGTGAGTCAAAGGTGGGACATCGAGAGAAACACACTCCGCACAAATTGTGGTTCCGCACTAATGTGAAAGTAAAATGAGAAGGTGTCTGCATCAGTTCTGATGTGCGGTGTTGAGTGAAGAGGGTGTGCAGTGAGGAGTTTGGCGCAGTTTCTTACATTTTTGATGCAGCAACAGCATCCCGGGCGTTTCGTAAATCCTTGGACAAACCGGACACTTCAGATTGCCGTATTCTGCAACACACACACATCAAAGATTGGTGAAATGACATGCTGCAAGCTAGAGCGCACTTGGTTTCACTTGCCCACCACTTGTGCAAGGCGTCACCGAGTGCATTAATGGGGCTGTTGTCGTACTCAACACCTCCCACCACATCATAAAGTGCCCTCAATTCGTTTTGCTGTTGTGTGCATTTACGCACAGGGTAGCGAGCAGTCGCGCCCAAATTCATGCAACAGCAACTACAGCAACAAAAGCAACAACGAGAGGAAGAAGAAGAGAAGGTGCATACCGTGATGGACGCGGTTCAAGTGTCGAAGGCAGAGGGGGATGCATCTGAATATGGCGAAGCAGAATCTGCACCTATAGATGTACATTTGGGAGTGAAGGAAGGAATGGTGCACAGCAGCCGTGCAACGGAGCCCGCGATGCGTGGAGTGAGTGAGGTGCGGCGACTTTTGACGTGTCTTCCGCCTTATCTGTGATTACTGTGCAGAGAGTAGGCATCGTGTGCTCGATGTGAAGTCTGAGCGATGCGAACGCGTGGATAAAGTTGAGCAGAACTGAAGTGCCTGCAAAAGACTGTATTACCACCATCACTAACCTCACAAACAATCGCGCTATCTGATTGCAGGACTGGAGTGGAGTTGTGGTATTGCAGCACGATGTTGACCCTGTGGTTTGGGGAAACAATAGGAGGTGCTAGAAGGGAGGTGGGAGATGTCTTTCATCGACTTGTACATAGCGCATTTGCCTAACAAAAGTCGAATCGGGCTGCGAGGCTTCGATGCGAATCAGAGCGTAGAATCTAGTCGTGCCCGTAGATGAGGTGATAGTGTGGGCTTTGTGGAGGAGGATGAGTCGATTGCGAGGAATCGTCTCCATGCGTTGGTTGACATTTGCGTGCTCCCTACCTGAGGACGTTAAGTCGTGATTGCATGCTGTTGAGTGTGGCTTTCCATGCAGCTCAAATGGGACCTTATTTCAACACCGTCTTGTGCTTTGGCCTCATGTCTTTGATGGGTAAACACATTAACGTGTCGTCCTCACAGATTGCCAAAGACACTAAACGTACTGACAATGTTTGACAGCATCTCGCCGTCGATGCGACAAAGGTCTGTTGGAAGAATGTGGGAGGAGACCGAGCAGTGGTGGTGGGAGTGAGGTGGAACCTATTCGTTGTTGGGGGAGTAGGAGGTACCACGGTCAATGCTTTTCGACTCTTTGAGCTGACATAATGTAGGCGATAGTATTTGGCAGGTGAGAAACAATGAAACTGTTTGCATATGTTTTATCGGCGTCAATAACGGGTTCGCTCAGTCGGTTCACCACGCCACAGCGCTGCAGACACCGGTTATGCGAACACCATCGCGTCTTCTTCTTCTTCCTCCTCCTCCTCCTCTACGGAACGCCTCGCTAACGAAGAGGTTCCTCCCGTTGCTCCTTACCACCGGTTTGCTGGACACCTGCATAGATTCACACCACGCTGAACGGGTTTGTCTTAGGCGACTAGGAGCGAAAATAAAAAACGGAGAGCTGTCAGTTTTGGCCAGTTGACAAGGTCACTGTCGAAGTGAGGCGAATGAGGCAATGAATGACAGCATGAAGCAGTGACTGGAGGTATCGCTGAAGCGGCTGAGGTGGGTTGTGGGTGCGTTGGACATTTGCAGTGACCGCTAGTGCTCAAGTGATGGAGGAGCAGAAGGAAGGGGACGTCAGTCTTTAAAATAGGTGTGACTGTTCTGCCGTCAAAGTTTGTTATGGATGAATTGTCGTTAGCAGTGTGTGGTGCTCCGTGTTTACGCTTTGAACCAATTCACCAACAGTGCGTGTACCATGTAATGCGAACAATTTGGTCCAGTAAGCAGAGAACAGAATGGTGGTTGCGTGGAGGTAGACACTTGCAGAATGGCGACAAAAATGACGGAAGTTGGTAGGGGGAGGTGTTGAGCAAGTGAAGGAAGGAAGGGAGGAAGGAGGGAAGGTGATGGTATGAAGTGCAAGTCGAGAGAAGTGCTTTTGGGAGGATGTGGAGCACAAGTAAGTACTGAGAGTCAATGTGGCTCCAATTCAGGTGCGAAAGGCGACATTGATGTGGACAATGCTTCAATGTCGCTTTCACGCCACGCTCCTCCACCATTAAGTGCTTCCAACACACCGTCCGGACAGAGTTCGTCGTTGCATAAGAATGGGACTGTTTTCATGGCAACTGGGGCCAAATCAAACGCTCAGATGTAATTCAGTCAGTCTCGCCATCAACAAGTGGAAAGATAAGTGCAAAGGGAGTGTGCTACGTTCCAGCCCGATCTTCACTGCCACTGCATTTCATTGTAGACGCCCTCCTCATCTACAGAGACGAATACGCAGTTACGACAGGCTATTACTGGCAGGCGAACAGACCACCTCACTACCACAAGCTCCTGCCTCATGAGGAGTGTGAAGGTAGGTAGGTGGGTCCTCCTGGACCGAACTAAGTTGTCGTCAATTGACTAAAAACTGTGCTTTACACTGTGACACTGCTAGGCACCTGACATTGGGCGCCACTCAATGTAATCACCAGCTTGGACGAGTTGTCATCAAGATAGGAAGCGTGAATCCTTCCTATTCTCACTTTGGATGCATGAGCAACCGTGCCAGTGCAGTTTGTCGTGTTTGGTGACGCAACCGACATGACATGTGACGGGAATTTGAGGCAAGGAAAGAGCCCGTCTTTCCTCTGGCCTCCTTCACGCGACGCATTCGATGCATGCAGACGGATTAGGGCGGACGAATAAATGAGTTTGCGGATTATCCAGTGGGATTGAAGGGTCATGGTTGCAGTTTGCGGCATTACTTTCTGCAACTTTGCTGTCCTGCTTACGTCTATAATTCACTGCTCCTCCTTTCCTCAGCGGATCCGAGCAACAGCCGCATGCACAACTTCTTGGATTGGCCACGATATGCGCACACTCAGCCACCCACTGGCCAGACCATTGCAAATTCCAGACATGCTTCACCTTAACCACACCTTCGACCCTTTAGCTACACGACTTTCCCCACTTAAGCTCTTTTCGCCCGCTACTTGGCCTTCGTAGTGACAAGGCTTAACTCGAGTTCACTGCGTCCCTCCTTTCCACGCACGGTGCACCCGTTTGCAATTCCACTGACGACATGGACAGCAATAATATGTGGGACAGTTCCCACTGTCTTACGTCTCATCAATGTCCCCATTTGCACCCATTTCGACAGACAGCAGTAGAGCAAACTTTACCGGCTAACTTAGCCCGCTTTTGGCTGCGTCGACGAGACGACTTCAGCTCTGCGAAACACCGCAGAAGCTGAAATGCACTGATGGACATCGAATCAACACTCCAATTGTCCCAACTCGCAAATAAGTAAGACTTGAGCACACCAACACAAAGAGCTTGCTGCTGCAACAATCCTCATAGAGGTAGCGGAAAGGTGTCATAAGCACATAGCTGTGGATGTGTGTATGCGTTGGGAGTTGAGCCACGACAGCCAGTTGGGAGCCCTGAAACACAAATTATTCAACTCTTGACATTCACACCCGCAGTCATGCATGAAAGACATGTACAAGTTGGTGGCACAGGCATCCACGCCAAATGTTTGGTCCCCTGATGGTGTCCAAATGACTTCAACTGCCATCGCATTGCGCTGTAATGCAATGCAAGGCGGAGCGATGTCCACTCCACCAAATCCACCAGGGAATGCCTATTCAGTGTTACACCATTGGACGGTCCAGTGTCAGGGCCTCGTCCTCCTCTCGCCAATGATACCTCTCGGCTTACTCGGCCAACTTTTGTAAGAAGAGCGGTCATAAGTCGAGGCAAGTGTTACCACAAACTTACACACTTTTCTCACGTAGAAGTGTTGACGCGAGCCCTACATGAACAGCCTGTACCACACGTCTACAAAGTCAAAGAGAGACAGACAGAGACAGAGAGGAAGGCGTCTCTGCGAATGTACTCATCATGATTAGCGTATGCGAGACGAAGGTAACTTCCTACAGTAGTGACTTGATTGCATGTGTTCAAACATCTCCTCCCACGTCCCGTGCTCTTCGAAGCATTGCAGGCAGTAAATACGCATCTGCAAGCACGCAATCCTCTTCACTGGAAGAATGCAAGAACAGGCGTAAAGTCAGAGGCGAAGTGAATTGGAGGGTGGCAGTCAAACAACTCACACATGTGTGCGCTGAAGAAGTGCTTGAGAAGTGAGTCGGAGTTTGCGAAGACATTGAGACACAGGCAGCACAAGTTGTGATTCCAGCCTACGCAGAAGTGCAAACCAACAAGCTGATACTGACGGAGAGGAAAATAGTGCACGAGTGGAGGGAGGCTCTTCATGCGCAGACTTACATTTTTGATGGCACAAGAGCGTGCCGAAGGTGGTGTAAGGCGCGAAGCAAGTAGGGCAATGCAGATTCAAGGTCGCTGAAACGCAACAAAAGCCTGTTGATTGTGCAAAAGAAGTTGGCAAATGCGTGGCACCAAGTGTCTCATTCAGTAAAACTGAAGCAGAATTTGTTGCAGTCAAAGAATTGCACACATTGGTGGTCCTATCGCGTGCACCTACACACCAACGCACAGACAGCCAAACACAGATGTACACTCTCACTTGTGTGCGCATGGAGGAGGAAGGACAAGGGTGCGGAGAAGTGAATCGTGTCATTCAAAAGCGCCTACCACGGTGGTCGCGGACTAAGTGGGCAAGACTTAGAGTTGAGCTGGTGAAAGACCTGAAGCAAAGCGTGCACATGTAGATGCACATTTTGGCGAGGAGTGAAGCGATTTGTGTGAGGTCATGCAGGGAGAGAACCGCGATGAGAAGTCAGGAGAGCTTCGTGGATCTGTTCTCAGCCTTACATGCGAGCAAAGCGCAGCAGTCGCATGCTCCATCAACACCTCAAGCATCACTCGCATGAGGCTGAAGTGCACCACATTGCACCTGCTCTTTACTATTATCCCCAACCGATGAGCTGCGATCTTCATTTTCGCTTCTCCTATCGACCATCACAACTTGTCTTACGGCATCAGCCCTTCCAAAGACTTCACTTTCGTGTCGCCGCACGGAGACTGCATCACAACTTGGTTTTTTGAATGCAAGGGCTCCTTCGCCAACCTACAAAGTTGCAGTTCCCGAACAACACGAATCAGTGTTCGGCGGAAGTGTCTGTGGTGTCTGCGAATACCGCATTATTACTATTTCTGCCCAGTACTACAAGTTATCACATGTGCGCACAATGAGTGGAGAGCGAACTGTGGAGCCTTGACCAATTGTCTCCGCCCTCATTGCAATGTCAGTTGTGTGGGGATAGATCGACGCTTGGTTGACAAGTTGATAAGTTGGGAGAACCACCTTACTCCTGGGGAGCACTAGAACGCTCCTATTGAAGGATGGCCGCTTTCTCCCATGCCCCGTCGCCTATTGGCTAGAGACGCGTCAAAGAGGTGTCTTCGATGTGTTGTAAAGTGGGTGCTAGTTTGGTTAATGGATGTGGTTGCAGAGACCTACAGTGCCGACGTTGGAAACTGGGGTTCTCTTCGGTTTGCCTGCATTCTGCCTAACAATGGCGTCTTCTCTCGCCCCCACACAAGTCGTAGAACGCTACCGCAGACCACTTTTATGGCACTTGGTTGGCCTCTGTAGCCTAATTCCTTGAATGCATCCTGCGTGGAAGGGTGAAAGGGGAGTGAGACAGTTCTCACCTGGAAGAGTTGCCAACCACGAAACCATAAAGTCGCCTGCGGAGCACATTCGGGAATAACATGAAGTAGACGACGATACGAGCATTTGAACGTACTCAGCCTCATGAGGAAGCAGTGTCACCTTCCCAAGGCCACACCTCATGCCGTTGAATTGGAGCAGATGGTGCAGGGATGAAGACGGCTTGAATGGTGCATTTATGGCGAAGGAGTGTCCACCTCTCCTTGCCTTCACTTACCCAATCTCTGACTGGCTAAATGCACTCACCAATATATTCGTGTAAAGTGTGTATGCAGAGAAGGAAAGTAATTGTGCTGCATTTCAGTGCACTCATTTGCTTCGCTTGACATGTTCGCCAATGATCGGTCAAATTGTGGAGAAACGAGGAATGCGGTTTAGTAGCACTTGGTTGAGTGGAAGCAAAAGACCACTGCGACCGGCAAAACAGACGAGGTTGACATGGAGAAGCCGTTTGCGCGTACTGCCTTCATCCGACATCGTGACATCACTGCATTTGGTTCAAAACTACTCCCGTGACTGTAGCGCATTTGGAAATAATGAAAGGAATGTGCAAAATGTGGTTATGTGTTAAAAGGTAGGGCAGACAACATGAGTCGGTTGCAACAAAGTCGAGCCCACATTACTGCACCTTGAGTAAGAGCGGAAATCGTAGAGCCTGGTACCGTTGCTCCTCGGTTCAGTGGTGGTAATAGTAGTAGTAGAATGTTTGCGCACCTGATCTGGCATTCCTTGGTTTGGATGCATTGTCGGTGGAGCGGTATTTTTGATGGCTGGTGTTGGAGAGGTTTGAGTAGTGGCGTCAATCGCCTGCATACTGAGTGAGGAGGAGACGGCCTTTATGCTTGAATACAAGTGGACAAGGTGACTATTCTGCCGTCAAAGTTGGTTGTGGATGAATTGTCGTTAACAGTGTGTGATGCTCCGTGTTTACGCTTTGAACCAATTCACCAACAAGACTACGGGCGTGGTATGGTTTCGGTCGCCCTGTTCTGAGATGGAATGTGGTGGTGGGAATGGAGGGGCATCAGACAGGGTGCGTGGATGTAAGAGAGGAGAATTCTGGTCGAGGTCGACAGCGTTGTTGCAACGAGTTGCTTACATTTGGTCTGGCATTCTTGTTCGCTTGTGCATTCATAAGGCAGTCTGAGTCCACCTCCGCACCCAACTTCTTCAATCCTTTGTTATTACCACCATTACTATTACTCTTCTAACAGTAAGAACGGTAGTTTATTATTCGCATTGATACTGAGAACTGCATATTGATAATGTTGGCGCAAGATGTGATTGTCAGGACATAGAGTATCAGGTGACCCCGAAGCTGTATCCGTCTGCCAGCCTCGTTTTCTGCACATACAGCCATTCTTCGAAGCTCAACACAACCTCAAATTGTAGCAAAGCAGGAGAGGAGCAAGGCGCTTTCTGTGCTTATGTGCAGGGCGCCTTTGGTGCCGTTAAGACTTGGGTAAGCGGCAACTCGAGCCACGTTTGCTAATACTACGTGACACCACCCTCAGGCTCGTATCAAATGAAGCTCCACCACTCCCACCTCCACCTCTTGCCCATTTCCAAGGTGCCTCGATTCAATTGTGTGAGTTCTGTTTTCGATTATGACTGCCTTGGCTCATGTGAAAATGTGGACTGGAGAGATGGTTCGACAACTGCACGGCGATGGTAGCAAGTAAAGTTGCGCACATGTAGACGAATTGCCATTCCAAAAGTGGGAGTTGATGGACCAGAATGCGGGTTCAGATATGATAACGAGACTTGAGGTTGGAGTTGAACAGTTTGGAAGTCTACTCAAAGAAGAAGGACAGTCAGCACAGCGATGATGTTGTCCAAACGAGGACAGCGTGTGCAACTGCCCTCACCCCTACCACCCTGTCCACCTCAATGCGTACGACCAATTGTGTTTTATGCTGATTTTGGAGTGAGACGAATCTCCCTCGGAACTCTACCCATGCACTCTTCCTTCCCCTCCTCCTCCTCCAACTTGTGTTTCAGTAGTCAAAGAGTTCAAAGTTGTTGTCAATTGCGTATTGTGTCACACACGACTTCAATCCGTTGAAGGTGCAAATGAATAGGCAAGTAACCTTAAGGTTGGCAGCATCATTATTTGCATGGAAGGAGGGTGCCCGCCAAGCCTAACCTCTGGACACAAAAGGTTCTCACATCGCAAATGGAATGAAAAAGCAGGAATTAAGCAAAGACCGACACTTGGGTCACTAATCGTCCACTGTCACACGCTCCCATCTACCGCTACCAATGCAAGTGCAT